CCGCCATTTTGAATCGCCATTTTGACCTCTTTGACGCCATTTTCATGAAGGTCAGCATATTTTTTTCGGATTCAGCAAACTCGAATTAGTTTAAAAAACTATGCTGGACCAAATAATAATTATTTGCCTTTAGAAGTTATTTCTACCTTCTTTTTAAAAATCAAGGCCAGACTAAATAATGAGAGGGCAATTTTCCATAGCAAAACAAGGACACTGCCATTATATTCATATGGGAGGCGGGGGTATCATAAAGTGAGCTCATTGCTCATAGTACCTCTACTTTAGAATCTGCCACTGCAATGGCTCTACGAAATACATTCGGCAAAAGAAATGTTCTAATTTTTTAGAAAGTAGAAGCTGCAGATAGAATTTACCCAAACAAAATAGAAAGAATGACATCAAATACCGGTATTTTTTGCTAAACAAAATATACTAGTATCCAATCGGACAAAGCATGCATTTATAAGAAATGAACAATTCCACTATAAAGGTCTCGAAAAAGTTGGTTCATAACATCACACATGCTAGTCCGAAATATCTGACGTATTCCATGCTTTTTTTAGCTCACCTAAACCGAAGGCTCAAGTGAATTTTTCTGAACACATTTTGTCCGTCGTCTGTCTGTCTGTAAACTTTTCACATTTTCGACTTTTTCTCAAGAACCACTGGCCCAATTTTAACCACACTTAGTGCAAAGCATTTTTGGGTAAATGGGAATATAAATTGTTAAAAATTAAGGACCAGGTCCTCTCACAAGGGGAGATAATCAAGAAAAGACGAAAATAGGGCGAGGTCATTAAAAAAATCTTCTCAACTACCACTGGGCCAGAAAAGCTGAAACTTATGTGGAAGCATCCTGGGGTAGTGTAAATTCTAAATTGTTCAAATCATGACCCCCGGGGGAAGGGCGGGGCCACAATAGGGAATCAAAGTTTTAAATAGAAATATATATAAAAGATCTTTAAAAATCTTCTTCTCAAGACCCGCTTGGCCAGAAAAGCTGAAATTTATGTGGAAGTATCCTGGGGTAGTGTACATTCTAAATTGTTCAAATCATGCCTCCCCGGGGGGGGGGGTGGGCGGGGCCACATTAGGGAATCAAAGTTTTACATAGAAATATATAATATTTACTTTAAAAATCTTCTTCTCATGAACTACTATGCCAGAAAAGCTGAAATTAATTTTGAAGCATCCTTGGGTAGTGTAGATTTTAATTATCCAAATCATGACCCGTGGGATACGATGGGGTCACAATAGGTCACAAGGGGAAAATCTGGTTAAGAATAGAATGGGCAAAGCTTCTCAGGTGAGCGATGTGGTCCACTGGTCTCTTGTTTAAAAACGATTTTGAGATTTTGAGATTTGACGTTTTTTTCAGGCACGCCAAATATTCAAATTGTTAAAAAGTCTTGAAAGTTGAAAGCGTCAGTTTTTCAGACTACTCACATTCTTGCCAGATTGAGCATCAACTTTGTAACCCAAAGTCCTTGGAAATTCAGTCCTGGCAACTGAGAGACAGGACTGAAATGAGAACAATTTATTTTGATTGTTTGATTATTGGTGTTTTACGCCGTTTCGGCAATATTTCATATTTCGTGGGGGCCGGAATTTATGTTGAATGCCTAGTTGAATGCCTAGTGTATTTATGGAACAATATGGATTTATTTCCGTATCCTTGAAACATATTGTTCATTATAATAGTTATGACTCGGTTGTATGGTGGTCGTACAATTGTATTCTTTACATTTCAGCACCTAAATCCCTATCCTTTATAAATTATAAACTCATTCATACTTAGGTTCACAAAGCACTGAAGCACTGTGTAACTACGCTGTATATGAACCCAATATACAGCTTGAACATGTTAATGTTCTATTGAAAATCATGAAAAATGATCCTTTGAGGTTGAAAATGCCTTTGCGATTTTACGTTTTTGCTTTCTCTGGGTTTAAATTGAAAGTTGAAGAGAACTATTATGATTGAAAATTAATTTGCATTTACATGATTTAATGATAAATGGAATGAAAAAGATGCTTTCTAAATATTTCTTTTCACGGATATCTTTAATCGAATGACTGCAATTTAACAATAAAAATACATAGGTATATCTTAGAAATGACTACATGTATTTATAACTTAGATTCCTGTTTTAAAAGTAAGAAAAGGTACATAAAAATATTCTGTTTTCATCTGTTACAAAGAGTGAGGCCAGGATAGTATCACGGGGATACATTTGATCAATGTCAATCGGATTTAACAAGTGGAACAAATTCAAGGTCAAGGTCTTTGGGTAAAATTATCTTGTTACAGGTAGTAGAAAAGTAAAATATGAAAGCCCTATCTCTTCTCATTCAAAGGTTATGACCAATGCTTTTGTGACAGATGAACAGATCTAGACGGACAGACTAAAAGACATTGGTTACACAATGTCATGACTTTCTCCTATCCGGGGCTCTTTAGTCACATAAATAGTGGAAATTTAGCTTGAATGTTCACGCTTCATTGCTGTGATGTCATGTTCCGTCAATGGCAATATATGTTTCCACCGCAATTAGAATCAATGTCCAATTGACATTATCAGTTAACATAAAAATTCAAAAACTGCAAATGGGTACCGGGTATTGAAAAGGTCGCGTCAAAGTTCACTTTCTAACCATGTTTTACTTGAATATTTTAATGAGTTTCAAAATATTCTCTTCTTAATTCAACCGGTCAGAGTGGGATAGCATCGTACATTTTGGCTTAAAGGTTTGCGACGATGCCTTATGTCAGACACTGATACTTCTTGTACAATGGATATGTCGAAGTGAATTAGTGTGCTTTCTGTTCAGTCCCATCATATTCAAGATAAGATTTTACTGATAAAAAGATTTTACAGTAGTTTGTTTGTTTGTTGTTTAAAATTCCCTCTTGAGAATTTATTTCACTCATATGGAGTCGCCACCACTTGCTGATGGAGAACTGTAAATTTTGATCATACTCGGCACTCGGGGCCATTGATCATTGAGGGATCTTTATTCGTGCCAGCACTTACTACGAGCGCAGTTTATCCTATCTCATCCGGAAAACCGCTCCCCACGTCTCATAGTGGGAATCGAACCGGCGACCCTTACTTAGATCAGACGCTCTACCACTGAGCCGGCCACTGTTGTAAATATAAACTTTTAATGATGAAAGTCTATGGCGTGTAAAACGTTGCTAGATTCGATAATCTTGTAACGTATATTCAAAATCTTGTGATGTATGTTCTAAACCTTGTGATGTATATTCAAAATCTTGTGATGTATGTTAAATATCTTGTGATGCATATTCAAAATGTTGTGATGTATATTCTATAATCTTGTGATGTATGTTCAATATCTTGTGATGTATGTTCAATATCTTGTGATGTATATTCTATAATCTTGTGATGTATTTTTGATAATCTTGTGATGTATATTCAAAATCTTGTGATGTATGTTCAATATCTTGTGATGCATATTCTATAATCTTGTGATGTTCGATAATCTTGTGATGTATATTCAAAATCTTGTGATGTGTGTTCTATAATCTAGTTATGCGTGCAATGATTACTCCTTATGGGTAATTTGACGCAACAATATTCTAAAAAAGTAAGGACAATTTTCATTGGTTAGAAATAATGAAAGTAGCCGGAGCGGCGGTCCTACTAAACAGAGTACGCTAGAGTACGATAGAGTAGTTTAGAGTACGCTTAAAAAATTGTGTAATTTAATACACTTGGATTGCGTATTTATGTATATACATGTACAACTTTATCAAACATTATTATAACATAACATTGCAATATCTGTCTTAAATATTTGTTGTTTTTTTACCGATATTTTGACAATGAAACAACATCCAGGATTCAATGCATTAAAGATTATTAACACACCGATCTCGATTACTATTTTGTTTAAGACTTACTAATTTCAACTAAAAATTGTATTTATCAAAATTTATATTAATTGTGTAATTACGTATACTAAATATTTTTCACATTAACAATGAAACATTTCAAGTTAAATAAGATCGGGATCGGGATCAAAAGATAAACCATAACCTGGAATCAGAAATTGAAATGACTCTTAAAATAAGGAAAACATACGCATTTTATTTAATATATATATTTATTAACTTGAGTAGATAAACATACAAAAATAAGATTAATTGCATTAAATAATAATTAATTTACTAACGTACACTAAAGTACTCGATCGAACAAGCGTATCTGCTTAGTAGGACCGCAATCGGATCATCTGGGGTCTTTCCGTCAGAGGTCGGAAAAACAACCTCGAATGTATTAAATGTATTAACATCACCGGATGTTAAAAATTTATACATCTTCCTGTTTATTTAAATATAGGATAGACGGAGTTAGAAGTCCCTTCTTTAGTATATTTTAGGTTACAGCATAACATTGAATAAATTTAAACTCCATATTCTACAGATAAAAGGTCTCCATGCATTTATTTCCAAGATCGTGAAAAAGGAGGGTTGTCATGGCGGCTACCATATACATTAGAGGTCGTTTTTCCGATAGTTGGAAAGGCCCGAGAAGTTGCGATTGAGTAGGACCGTCGCTCCGGCTACTCTAAATTTTTCTAACCAATGAAAATTTTCCTTACTTTCTTAGAGTACTGTTGCGTTATTTTACCCGTAATGCAATATTATTGCACGCATCACTAGATTGTAGAACACACATCACAAGATTTTAAATATACACCACAAGATTATAGAATATACATCACAAGATTTTGAATATACATCACAAGATATTGAACATACATCACAAGATTTTGAATATACATCAGAAGATTTAGAACATACATCACAAGATTTTGAATATACACCACAAAGTTATCGAACATACATCACAAGATATTGAACATACATCACAAGATTTTGAATCTACATCAAAAGATTTTGAATATACATCACAAGATTTAGAACATACATCACAAGATTTAGAATATACATCACAAGATTATCGAATTTAGCAATGTTTTACTCGCCATAAAAGTCCTAAACATTTTTTTCGCTTTTTTATAGTAAAATTGCCAACTTACGCCGCAGTGTACTATCCAGAGGATGATGTCACTGGAATTATACCTACTACTAGAATCCTAGGGGACCCTCTATTTGAGATTAATTCAGTGGTGACCATCAACTGGAGTAAAGATTTGCAGCCGCCAGCTCTCATTATTTCCTTGTCAGGTATCTAATCTAGATTTTTTTTTTTTTTTTTACAATTTTGATTCTTGATGTTTGAACGCAATTGATAAATGCTTAATTTCTTCTCAGGTAATAAGTTATTCAATGTATAACCGAGAAACATTCATAATTTTCAGTATTATATTCAAATTAATGAACTCATAAAATGAATTTAAACGAACAAGTTAAAACTTATTAATGATAAAAATTTTCTCTTTGAAAAGAAAATTAATACAGTGTATATATAATTAAGATTTTATCACTTTGTAAAGTGACCCATGCATTTAAAGGGACTTGGACACAGATTTAATTGAAGTTAATATCCTCTAACAGAAAAAAAATCAGAAAAATATTAAGACGTATCCCGACGACGTATTGTCAATTAACCATTATCGTAATTTCCATTCCTATGTCGATACGATATATCCTGGTGAGCTTGAGATAAAAGATACCACAGAGTCTGAAACAGATTGGATATTTTACTTGAAAAAGACGTAAATTATAATCTAACAACTAAACTCTATACAAATGTATATGATAAACGTGATGATTTAACTTTTCTATCGTCAACTTCCCTTACTTATGCAGCAGTATACCTTCAACACCTGCATACGGAGTTTATATCTCTCAGTTGATTCCATACTCAAGAGCATGCTCTATGTATGAGCAATTTCTAAAACGAGGTAAATTATTGACAAACAAGTTGATGAAACAAGAATATCAGCAGTCTCGTTTAAATTCGGTCTATGGTCGATACAATGACCTTGTCAGCAAATACAATTTATCATTGAGTCAAATGCTGACTGACGTTTACATACTAATTGTTAGTCCATTATTTATACACTGAATTGACGACGGATTTTCCCGTTGTTTCCCGATCATGACAAGGAGCGCACGGCGGGTGTGACCGGTCGGCAGGGTATGCTTACTCCTCCATGGCACCTGATCGCACCTCGGATGTTTTGGAGGTCCGTGTTTGCTCTGCTCCTATCTTGTATTGTTTTATGGACTTTGATATTGAATACTGTTCGTTATCTCCATATCCTTCATCCCAGATAAAACATCTTTTTCTTGGTACTAAACTAAGTATATTATGTTTATCTTTGAACATCCCCTTTCTCTTGCTCTTAGGTTACAAAGCTCCATCTATCATTTTGTTTTTATTTATTTCATATGAATTATTGCATAATTCTATAAATATTAATCTTTATAATTTTGTAACCATGCTCAGGTGACTGTTAGGACCATTGGTTTTTAAAGTTTCCAACCCATAAATGCACATAATTTTCTAAGCTTAAAAATCCTTCCTGTATAAATACTCTGAAACTATTTCAAAGCAGTTTACAGTAGAGAAGGATTTACCAGTGGAAATTAATTTTTACCCTTGCTAAAATCAATTTATTGATTATTTAAGAATGCATTAAGGTCTATGGGAACAAGCTAATTTTTGAAAAAAAATTAAATACTATGAATATCAAAAATGCTATGGTGGGAAGATGAACATAATTATTAGGAATAGAAAAACGATTAAAACATATTTTTTCACCGGATAGATTTTTAAAAATAAAATGAATTTTATTGATTAAAAGCAGAGGGGGGTTAACTCTTCAAGGACGGGCCAAGTTTAAAAACATTGGGACACGTTCTGCTCTTACATATTTAGACTAAAACATGAAAATTATTGTATACAGAGTATTCAGCCAATATGTATCTCTATGCATTCAGATCCATTGAATCTGAGGCTATTATGGATCGGATACCTTAAAGCCGCTTAATCCGAAACAGACACATATTATCTTACACAGTAAAAGTACGTCATTACATAGATAAGATCTGTTGTGAAGTCACGTTTGAAAAAATAAATTTATCGGTTTTATCTAATTATGAAGATAATTCAAACCCGAGTATTTTTTTTTCCTTTAGTCGAAGACTAAGTCATTGAATATAATCTATAGTAATTTTTATATTAATATGCACATTTAAAGAATAAAGGAAAATTAGATATTCATTTTAAAGGAAATTTAGTAACGAAGGCTAAAATATTGTCCTTTGTTGTGAAAAAAATGCTCGGGTTCGTTGTTCATGAGATATACATGTAAGCGATAAGTTTAATTTATCGAAGGTGATTTCACACGATATCAACATAGGACTATTTTTTGTGTGACCTAACAAAAATTATTTTTTTAACTTTTGAATTTTGATATCTTTTGAAAGAAAAAGACTTTGGGGATATAATTTGACAAAAAGTGAAACAATTTATGGACAATTATTTTTCAAAAAAAAAAAACCGAATATATTTTTTAGCGATTAGAATTGGACCAAGCGGCTTTAAATACTAAATGCGCAATTGTGTGCATAGGGCGTAAGATTAATTTAGATCCCCATGAAAGTCTATTGTCATTGAGTCGATATTTTACATATTACAATGATTCTTGATATAAATTTCAGACTGCAGACAACAGCTGGAGGATGCCATTGACAGATATGAAGAAGCTCTGGATGAAGATGTTGATGACACAACGTACACACCCCCACAAAAGAAGGAACGAAAGGTATTCCATCATATTTGTTGAATATGATAATTTTGTAAATGGACATTACAGTCAGATGTCATCTATATGTACATGTACATGTGTATCGTGTGTTGTTGTGTGTGTTTTTTTTTGTTTTTGTTTTTTTTTGCAAAGTTACGGTTACAGTAGCTATATTGCTTTCTGATTAAAGGCTGTGTAAAGTGAAAATCGTAACAGTGGGAATGGGTCATTTAGTAAATATTTAGCAAAATATAACATAAAAAAATATAAGGATTTTATCGCATTCAAAGTGATAGACTACAGAAATTTAATTATCTTTCCTTGGTTTTGATTTTGACTTTTCCTTTAAATGTCTTTAAAGATGTAAGTTAGACTTCATCGGTGTAAACCCGTCTTATTTCATTTTTTTTTCTCTCAGGACAACAAACTACCCCAAAAAGAAAATGTGAAAGACAAGACAGACAGTGTTAAAGGGAAGCATACAACAGAGGTTCAGAAGGAAGTGCATCCTATAAACGGCGAGAATGACAGCAGAGAAGGACTAATGGTGTGTCCACAAGGAACCGAGGATAAGATTGACACTTTCCTTACGTCAGAGAAAACAACTCCAGAATCAACCACACTAGAAGACAGCTCCCTTACAACATCAACACCATCAGTGATGACTCCAAAATCAACCACAACAGAGGATTTCTTCCAAACATCAACGACATCACCAGTGGATACTGATCCGAAGTCAGTCACGCCAGGGAACTCCTCCCTTACAACACCACCCCCAGAGATAAGAGACACAGAAACATTCGAACCAGATGGCACATTTGTTATGTTAACAACACCTGAAAGATCACCTCCAACATTACTCAAAGAAGTGGATTTCTCTTATACAGTGACCACAACACCAGAGAGAACAAGAGACAGCACCTCTTCAACATCATCCACAAGACAGAAGCAAACCGTGAGAAGGACTTCAAACCCATCACAAGAATGGCCATTGGCAGTCTCTACTCCAGATCCAAAACACCTGAGCACAACTCTTCCTGTTTTAAACTTGTCAGAGTATTTCCCAGATCTTGAAGATTCTTTTGTCGCAAAGCAACACGGAATGATGCAGACAGTTGAGGAAAACAGACAAGCACTAAGAAGAATTGAAGACATCTTGGCGGAAATCAAATGTCAACTCATCAGGAGCATTACATCGACTTCCAAAACACAAGCCACAACAGTAACAGAAAAAGTGGAATCCAAACCTGAACAAACATTCAAGAACAACTCTTCTCAGACGACAAGTTCGACACCCGCGCCTTCCATATTTGCTAACATTGAACTTCTCGCCACCAGTGATGATCCTCCAGCACCAAACAAACCTACTGCAGATCTCGCAACAGCAACCAGAAGAGTAGCCAAGTCAATTTTCGAAAGTGTTGAGGCCCTAGCTGCTAGTTCTGAAGGAGATGGAACATCACAACCACACAAAATTGGTTCTCCATATCATCAGCAGAGTGATATTGCCAAACAATGGATGCCTTTGAACATGGTGGACTTCCTGGAATTCAGACCGACCGAAAATTAAGAGTTGGCAGAGAATGCAGTTGTGTCATGAGTAGAACTTCAGAAATCTAGTGAGTAGGAACCGAATGACATCAGCTCAGATGGAGAAGTACAAGAAGATCAAAGGAAAATTATCCTGCAGTGTTTGGTCAGAAAAAACGTTAATTGAGAGATCAAAGAGACAAAAGCCATTTTCAATTGGCATAAATTTTACCGTCACATCTGCCGAGGACAGCTAAAAAAATGATTCATGGAGGGGACAAAGCAGAACAGACGTTTTTATAGTTTTTTTTAGTTTCACTGTTTTTTTTAGGTTCACTTTGGTGCCATACTTTATGGACTTGAAGAGATGTTACCAAGAATAGTAAAATCCTATTAATTCCAATGTTCTCTTTGATGTTTTGCGTTAACTTTATGTCTTGTAAAATATAAAACATAAATGACACTATTTGTTTTGTAACTGGAATATTTTCCCTCTGTTTTAAGATATTTTTGGGCAATATATGCATTTTGTTATCAGATCTTGTTATCAGAGTATTTGACTGAGAGATGTAAACATGGCTGCAAATGATAAACATTATAGTGTATGAAGGCAAACTTTTACATATGTACATAAACACATTTATAAAGTTTTGACTGATGCGTATGTTCTTGTCAACGGCATTGAGGTTCTTTGGTGCTTCGTTGATTCAAATAAGTGTAGGTTTCAAAGAAAAAAGTTAATATAATTTTTATGTAATCTGATATTTATTTTTGTCATATGTTGAATAATTTGATAAAAAAATATTTATTTTTAATAAAAATAGAAAGTACATTTGGTGATGTCTTGTCAATTCAATAGGGATTTTATGTGTGGCATAAAAAGCGAAATAACTGGGAATGACATTAGAAAAGCTAAACATAATTGGATGAAATTAATAACAACGCATTATAAAGAAAAATCTGTTTTAAATCATGAATTTATAAGGGAGCGGAGTGCGCCGAGAATCCTTGACTTGCGAAGATGTGTAAACGGTAAAGAAATGGAATTTATTGGGAACTGATTTTCTTAGTTGAGAATCTACAGGAAGTGCTACATATACATGTTATAAATCATGTAATGTTATAAAAGATATTATTTTTATGTAATATCTCTAACGATTATATTCTGCAACTTCTGGTATACAAAACTTTGACCACAATTTAAATTCATTTCCACTAGAAACAATTAGTACGTGTTCAACAACGGTTTATTAACAATGGTTATTTCCATTTCTATGTCGATACGATAGATCCCGGTAGGCTTGAAATATAAGATACCACAGAGTCTGACACATCTGATTCATATTTGGATATTTTTCTTGGAATAGACGTAAATATTAATCTAACAACCTAGTTTTATGATAAACGTGATGACGTTAATTTTCAATCGTCAACTTCCCTTACTTCTGCAGCAATTTTTATTTCCATCACCTGCATACGAGGTTTATATCTCTCAACTGATTCGATACGCAAGAGCATGCTCTACATATAAACAATTTCTTAATCGAGGTTAATTATTGACAAACAAGTTGATAATGGTCAATAAAATGACCGATCATGACAGGGGGCACACGGCGGGTGTGGCCGGTCGGCAGCGGATGTTCACTACTCTATGGTACCTGATCCCACCTCTGATGTTTTGGAGGCCAATGTTTGTTCTCCAATTTTGTATTGTTTAAAGGACTTTTGAGCTTGAATACTATTCGTTATCTCAATATACATATTTAATCAACTAGTTGAAAATAGCCAGTCTCGTTTTAGATCTTACGTCGAACATGCCTTGGTGTATAAAATCAATCGGGAGTCTTAAATTCTATATAATGAATTAATGTTTTATTATTTTAGTGTTTCTCAGTTGTGAAGGATAAACAACGTATTATTTACGTATTGATGAAAATAATTAGTAGTAAAGATTTTTTTTTGTATATTCCTTTCCATTATCTTCAGTGTCAAATGAAACTAGTGCTAATTGTAACGGGGACCGTTACAGATGTTCCCCAAACGCTCCCCAAATCCCCAGATGTTGTGCCATTATCCTGTAAGACATTTTTAAAATATGCTCAGTTTCAAAGGATTTCATATAAGAATTATTAATGCTCTAATGATACCAACTGTATGTTATTTAACTCATTGCACGCACGTGCATGCACATGCAAGATGATCATGGCATGTTGTCTTAACCATTAACATTTCTTTGTGTCGTTAGAATCAATAAGAGAAATTATAAAAAAAAATATAAATGTGACCGTTTTTCAAATATATTGGTCATTTTCATATTGTGCACGTGCATGCATGCGTGTCCTTGCATTCAATTTTGATAGTAGCAAAATGTAGTAATCCATCATACCTATTCATATTCTAAATTTCATCCCGTTTTGTTGAGAAGCAAGAAAGTTATAGGCATTTAAAGTTTCAGCCAATCAGATTGCAGGACATGTGCTTGCGCATGCTTTTATGATAATTCTTATATATCATGCTGTAGATCTTCATAATGTATGACTATGTTCAAAATTTCGAAGGATTTTATCAAAAAACAAGGAAGATATTGAGACTTTAGTTTCAGCCAATCAGATTGAAGCGCACGTGCATGCGCGTGACATCTTGCTATTTTGACCATGTCATCTTGTCTACGCTACTTATATATCCCTACATTATAAATTTCAAAAGATTTAATCAAAAAATAGAAAAGTTACGGCTATATCCATTATATTGGTCATTTCACGTGTTGCACGTGCGCGCTCTTGCAAGCACGTGTGCGCAAAATGGCATGTTGACAATGTCATCTTATCTACATTTATAATATGTCTATATATTCTAAATATCAAAGCATTACATCGAAAAATGTAAAAGTTACTGCAATTTCAAGTATATTGGTCATTTCACTTATTGCACGTGCGCGCTCTTGCAAGCACGTGCGCGCAAAATGACCTTTGTTCCGCAAATCTACATAACATGCCTACTTACCCTAAAAAGGTTTCCCCTTAATCGGATGTGTACTTTACAAGATCATTCGCGGACAAAATTTTCCCGAGAAGAAAAATAATAATAATAATAATAATAAGAAACAGAGTAAAAACAATATGTTCCCCAACTTCGTTTGGGGAACATAACTAGTGCTAATTGTAACGGGAACCGTTACAGATGTTCCCCAAACGCTCCCCAACTCCCTTTTGGTGGCATATTCCTTGTAAGCCTTATTAAATAAGACAACACCTGTGTATTTTTGACTTTAACAACGTTTTCCCAAAAGGATACCAATTATATTCATATTTTAACATTGCACGCGTGCCCATGTAAATGCACGTGCATAATGATCATATAATCTTGTCTACACTTTCTATATATTAAAATATATTTTATATGAAAGCATTTAGTCCAAAAGTATTAAAAATCACTCATTCAAGTGTATTTTCAATTTCACTCGTTCCAAATGCACGCACGTGCGTGCACGTGCATGATGACCATACCTTCTTGTAGGAGGCCTTTATATCTATCTATGTTCTAAATCCCATCCTGTTTGGTTGAAAACCAAGGGAATAATAGCCATTTCAAGTTTCAGCCAATCAGATTGCAGCACACATGCATGCGCGTGATTTCTTGAAAATTTTTGTATATCATATTGCAGGATATCCTAATACATGACTATATTTTAAATTTCAAAGCATTTCATCAAAAAATAAAGGAGATATAGCCATTTAAAGTTTCAGCCAATCAGATTGCAGCGCACGTGCATGCACGTGATTTCATAATTTTTTTTCCATATTATATTGTAGGATATCCTAATTCATGACAATGTTAAAAATTTCAAAGCATTTCGTCGGAAAACAAAAGAGATATTGAGATTTTTGTTGCAGCCAATCAGAGCAAGCCGCACGTGCATGCGCGTGAGTTCATGCTGATTTGACAGTGTCATATTATTAACACTTTTAATATATCCTTATGTAATGAGTTTCAAAGCATTTCATCAAAAAATGTAAAAGTTATAGCTATATTAAGTATATCAGTCAATTCACTCATTTCACGCGCATGCACGTGCAGGCGTATGCGCGCAAAATGACCTTCGTTCCGCACACCTACACTACACACCTATTAACCCTAAAAAGGTTTTAGCTCAGTTGGGTGAACAGTTTCTGAGAACACTCGCGGACAAAAAAGTACCGGAGAACAAATAAGAAAAAAAACTAGATGCGTTCTTGTTGCTGGAGCAACAAGTGGTCTTCCGACCGACTTTTCGTAAGAGTTCTACGCTGCGCCATCTCATGAAGTAGGTTTCAGAATGTATTTTTTTTTGTTTACGTTTATTCACAGCAGTCACTCAACGTACATCATGAAATTTACAGGAATTCCTCAAAATATCTCGAAAACTTGCATTTAAAAATCGGCAAAATATTCCATACGTGTTATAAAAGAGATAAAAGTCATTTGCAACTGAAAAAAGACATAAACAAAGAAAAAAATTTTGCAATGCCCACAGCGGGATTCGAATCCCCGACAGTGGGACAAAGTTTGGTTCGGTCATGTCTTTTCAATATCTGCACGCATCAAGATACTGAATACATATTTATAATTCTCATAAGACACTCTATAAACCCTGTAAATCCTAAAGAAAAATATTGAAAAACAAAAAAGTTGAGAAATGGGACTTTTAGAATTCACTTCCGCTTGCGACCAGAAGTGCCGACGACGAAAAATAAAGGTCGTTGCCCATAACGGAGTTCGATGTTCTATCACCTCAAAGAGTTTCATTTTCATATTTCTAGCCGACAAAATGCCTTTTTAAAAATACAAAAATCCCCAAAAATCGCGAACAAAAGTGAATTTTGAAAAAATGAAAAACACGTCTGGAGATATTAACATGATGCATCATCCCTGTAAAAATCTTTCAAATCCGTCCACGCACAGCTGAGATATCGCCCTAACTATGAAAAAAAGAATAATAATAATAATAAAAAACAGACGAATAACAATAAGGTCTTCCGAAGGAAGTCGGAAGACCTTAATAATAATAATAATAATAATAAGAAACAGAGTAAAAACAATATGTTCCCAAACTCCGTTTGGGGAACATAATAAGAAACAGAGTAAAAACAATATGTTCCCAAACTCCGTTTGGGGAACATAATAATAATAATAACTAGATGCGTTCTTGTTGCTTAAGCAACAAGCGGTCTTCCGACCGACTTTTCGTTAGATATCTATGCTGCGTCATCCCATGA